GCCTGCAGTTGCTCCCTAGGAAGAGGGAGTAGAGAAGCTGGCAGACCCAGAGAAGGAAGGGAGAGCCAGAAGGTTAGGAAAGAGATCAGGGAAATGCAGCATGGTCTGGGGTGGCACAAACCTTGACTGCTGACTAGACGGTCCCTGAACTGCAACCTGAAGTAAACTGTGGGCCTAGGTTCCCTAACCAGCCACTGGGGTTAGGGAAGTGGTACTGGTGGGACAGTGAATGGGAAGACTGTGTAGTACTGCTGGTGAGGAAAGACTTTCCAACCCTGGAAGGAGAAAAGACATATAGTTACCTGGCCGGAGGGCTAACTCACGAAGAGGCAGCAGCAGCTCATGCAGTCAGAGGGGCTGCAGACCCAGAGAGAGAGGCAGAGGATGGCGTGCAACTGCAGGAAGGGTTGACCTTGTGAGCTATTCCCCAGAACAATTAGGAGAAGCTGCCATCCTAGCAGTGAGTGGAGCACCCCATCACATGTGGGTAGAAAAACTGTGATATAATCAATGTAATTACACATGACTGGTGGGGCATACTGCAGTGAGCATTGTGAGTGCTGAACAGTGCACTGGACAACTGAAATCTGTAAATTGTTCCTCTATCTGGTTGCTAAACTACTGAACTCCACCTTCCCCCACCATACTATACTGCTCCAGTATTGCAAAATGCATATTCAGTCACTCAACCCAATCAATCATCACATGCACCATTTTACAATAAAAGAACTGGACAAGCTTTATTCTAACATTACTAACAATCCAATTAGACCAGAACTTTTAAAGGTATAGTTCCAGAAAATCAGAAAGACCTCTGAGAGTAACTGAGTGCTTTCTCAGTTTGGACACATTTATTGTGTTTCTTTGCTTTAAATGCCAGCTTTCTGCTGTTTTTGAAGAAAGGACAGATTTTTGTTTAATAAACAATACTTTTGCACATGTATAGTGCTTTTCATCCAAGGCTCTCTTAGAACTTTACAGATATTATCCTTAGTGAGTGTAAATTGGCATAGTTGTATTTGAAATAAATAGTGCTAGGACAATTTACACCAGCTAAGAATCTGGCTCACTAAGTCAAAACACACCTCCCCTTGAGGCAGGGAGGTATTATCACCATTTTATAGCTATATTAAAGCACAGAGAGAATGATTTGTTAAAGATCACACAGCAAGTCGGTATGAAAACTGGGAATAGACCGCAGAAAATCTGAGTCCTCCTGTTTGCCCTTCCCTCATGAGCCCTGGGGAGAACAGGATTGCTTACATTGTCTTCAGCATGCTCAGGACACTTGCTGCTCTGAATTAAGATAATGACAATTGACTAGATGTGTTTCAGGGTAAGGGTTCACCTTCCTCTGCAACTTCAGAGATTGTCTGCGACTGGAGCTGGCACACCGGATTGGGTTGACCCGGTGCTCTGAGGTGGGACAAAGAATCTTCTTTCTCGATCCCTAGCTGATATGCCCAGCCCACATGCTCAGATTTCCATACAGATAACCAGATTTGAAATCAGAAAGGAATTTTCCCTCCAGATAGATTGGCAGGGACTTCAGGGTTTTTCACATCCCTCTGCAGTATGGGGTGTGGTTCGCCTGCTGGGATCATGTGGGCATAACTCACCTAATTAATTCTCTGCAATTGCAGGGGCATCAAGCATTGGTGCCACCTCAGTCTCTCCTGTTCTCTCCCTGTGGTACATAGATTACAGCATTTCAGTCCTCAGAAAACTAATCTATCATTATTTTTACACAATCCAACATGATAAGCACTTTACAGAAAAAATTGAAAGATGTGGTCCCTGCCCTGTAAAGATTAGTCTAGTTTTAGACAAGACAAGAGAGGGGTGACAAACAGGGAGAGTGAGGAAGGATGACTGTTACAACAATATGATCCCACAGTTACTAAGCCTAGGCATGTGAAAATCATTATTTCAAAGATTAATAGATTTTTAAGGCCAGACGGGACCATTAGATCATCTGTCTGACTTACTGTATAACACAGGCCATAGAATTTCACCCAGTTATCCCTTTGAGCTCAGTAAGTTGTTTGACTAAAGCATGTCCTCCAGAAAGGCATCCAGTCTTGATCTGAAGACATTAAGAGACGGAGACTCCGCCACTTCCCTTGGTAGTTTGTTCCAATAACTAATCATCCTCACAGTTAAAAAAATGTGTGCTTGGTTTCTAATTTGAATTTGTCTAGCTTTAACTTCTAGCCATTGTGTCTTGTTATGCCTTTCTCCACTAAATCAAAGAGCCCTTTAATAACTGGTATTTCTCCCTGTGAAGATACTTATACCAGGTTCAAGTCACCTCTTGATTTTCTTTTTGCCAAGCTGAACCGATTGAGCTCATTAAGTCCCCCAATGTAACTTCCCAAAAGCATTGCTTACTGAGTGAACAGCACTTGTTCATGCTTGAGGCCAAAGCAAAAAGACTTCTTTGTGCAAGCAAGGCATCCTTTTGCCCCCTTCCTGAATTTAAGAAATTGTCTTAAAATTAATAAGAGCCAATCTCTGTGAAGAACAGAACTCATGAAGATGGCCCTTTAAAGAAGACAGCTGGTTACATTGGACACTTGATTCAGTTTCTGCCTTGCTTAAGATATTTTCTGCAACTATTAGTGAATATCTTTTTTAAATCTGGTATTTATTATTGTGTAGGTATGATTCTTTAGAGCATAATACAGTAGAATCCTCTTGATTGGGACAAATCAATGGATGGCCAATAACCATGATTAAATGAAAATTCTAGTCAAAATAAGGCCCTTAAACAAAGGAATTTGCAATGATGTCAAATGACAGAATACTCTTCTAAATAACAATAAAAGAATAAAATGGATATTCACTATAATTTACATTTAATATTTCTTTTTTTCCTCTTTTAATATTTATTTGGCAACTTCTGCCTTAATACCAGTGTAACGGGATGCAGCTGCCGTACACTGAATTCTAGACAGCTAGGTCTACTTATGCCTGTGCTCAGAATTTACTCCATTAATACTTTGGAAACTGGTCCATTATGAGGAATTTAGGCTCATATTGTCCTAGTTAAACAGCAGTCATTACAATTCTATATCATTAGGCTAAATTGGTTCTCTGGGAGTGGTGCTAATTAGGCACATCCCAATGATGAATTGTATCCTTCATTCCTTGTACAATCAAAACTTATTAGTTATATTGTACCCCAAATGTGTAGGTGCTGAAGTGGATAGAGCGGTGGAGGAGAGGTTTCCTCTCCGGGATGAACGGTCTGATCAGCCGATATGTGTGGTGGTGATGATGGTGCTACCACTTCAGAAGGCATAGCCTGTGCGTGCGGCCCCGAGGTACTGGGGGAGGGCTGGCGGTAGCTGCTGCCCGCGTCCTGCCGGAGGCACAGCCCGCTGAGAAGCACTGTTGAAAAAATCCACAATGTCCTCGGCTGTCTCCTCCTCACTCCCAGTCTTTACTAATTGGGGATACAAAGGAGCTGAGGGGGTCGATGAGGTAGAGGGATTTGATGAGGTAGTTTGGGTAAAGGGACATCCGGATGTCTTGCATTTAGTTTTTAAATCCTGCACTTGGATTTTTAACTTTTCCTGGGAGTCCTTAGACTCCGCACTTGAGACCCATGGAGTCTCTTTGTGGCTTCTTCACACCAACAGACAAATTGTTCCCACTGTATGTCAGGGATTTTTGGTGATTCAAGAGCTCCTCTAAGATGTATGATCTTATCTAAATCGAAGGTACCTTCTAGTGGAAACTGTTTAGATGGATTATCATGCGTGTAAAAATTCCAGTTATCTAGATGCTTACAAGTCCTAGGACCATAATGCACGTACATGTAGTAGGCAGGGGTGCCTTTCGGCGGTGTGGGAATATTCTTAGACTCACCACTACCCATTTTTCAGGCACTCAGGGAAAGTTGACTGGGTCACGGGGTTCCGCTGACTCCCCTTGCTTTCAGAACTCCCACATGGGGTAGCCCTGGGGCAGCTGGAGTCAGTTTAAGTCCCAGACCTGGTCAGCGAATAAGTAAGGGAAGACTTTTGCTCTCTCACACTCTGGGGAAAGTCCCAGACCTGGTCAGCAGACTTGGCAAGGAAAAACTTCCGCTGGGTCAAAAGATTCGGCTGACCCCCCTTGCTTTCAGAACTCCCGCATGGGGTAGCCCTGGGGCGGTTGGAGTCAGCTTAAGTCTTAGACCTGGTCAGCGGCATTCACTCGTCACTCATTCACTCAGTCTTATTCATTTCCCCCATACCTGGATACATCTCATTTAACCATAACCTTAATTCCTTACGTCCGGACTTATCATAACCTTTTCCTTATGTGAGGTGGCAATCTCCTCAACACCGCTTTGCATCTGTCCTTGTTGCAAAAACAATACGTTTGCATGGTGTGAACCCAAGAGGGACAGACGGCCCCACAGGCAGTCCTCCTCCGAACCCCACTAGAGATTTCAAAAGGTCTCTTACCTCTTGTCTGGTGCCTTGGGGTTCAAAGGGGAACGGTCCGTAGTGATTGCCGCTGTATCCGAGTCATGGCACCAAATAGTGGAAGAAAACCAGTCCTCACTCTGCATTTGTTAGCAACAAGTCAGAAACAGTTTATTGCGAGCAATTGCAATGGAAGCCTGAGGTCGGAGAGGGGGCCCCCCTGACCTTAGGCAGATCTTCACTCTACAAGCAGCATAAGACAAGCATTTATACCTTCCCGTTACATACATCAATCGGCTAATGGTTATCCTTTGTTTATACAAACTCCCTCCAGACACTACCTTGTCTCAAGGTTTCTCCTTAAATCAGCATTCCATTCTTATCAACTAAAGCGAGGCGACAAGTAAGGCGTGAAGCAGCATCTCTTACAACTCTTGCGTTATTAGGGTTAGGGTTATACTTCACTCTATCCTTATACCTGACTAAAACATTTGCCCTGCTTTAATTTTGCTTCCACAGTCTCTTTCCCAGGGACACTTCTGTAGCGGCCTTTGAAAATATATGCCTTGTGTTGCCCCAATTTTAAATAAACGGTATTAATAAAAGAAAGGGATCCTGCTCTGTGCCTGTGAATAAAATTCATAAATTAAAGGAATAGTGCACAATCAGGCAAAAGTTGCTGTTGAATTTAACATGATACTATCAAGAGAAAAGGAAACTAATGCATTGAAAATTATCAAACTATTGGCAAATTTACATATTGCATCCTTGACTAATGCCATCTATGAAACAAACATATCTACTATATTATTGAAGATGAGATCAGAACAAGCTTAACTAAAATAAGGTGGAGGAGCTTCTGTTGTAAGTCTTTTAGTTTGGCTCTCTAAGAAGAGACTGATAGGGCTGGTGGCTATATCACAAACCTTTTTGGGCACAATATTTTCATGAAAGCCTTCCGAAACCTAACATGGCAGAGAGGGTAGAGGAAAGGATTTACAGAGGAATTAAGCCACAAAAGCCAAAATGTTATATCATACAAGATTTCGTTGACACACTCTCCACAGCAGGCTCCGCGAATTATCATAAGTAATGAATATGGTGCCCAGCAAATGGCAAAGACACAGACAATTATGGCAAGTGACTTAGCAATTTTTTTGTCCCTGTTCAATTTTGACCTGGTCTTCTCTCTGAGGGCTACTGACTGCTCATTGTCAGGGGCTATGGAATAGCCTCTGGACTGATGTGAACTGTCAGTCACCTGTGACTGCACCTGTGTCCTGGAAGTAGTAGAAAGACTCTCCTCTGTTTCTGAATCAGGAGAAGAAACTTCTTCCTTCAAAGAGCAATGGTCAGCCATCAAGACACTGTTTCCTGTTGGAGGTACAGACACCTGTTTGCTGATGCTGACTGTGCTCTGGAGCCTGTTTCTCTTGCGTTTTTGTATATCCCGGTAGATGTGCATGTTGAAATAGGCCACAGAGATACAAGGTGTGAAGAACTCAAAGGTTGAGGCACACAGGAGAAAGTACCAGTTGTAGTAGAATTCAGCATCGCATTCTCCATCGGGTATGATGCTCTCGCCGGCCACATGTTCCCAAATGAGGATTGCAGGGCCATAGATTAAGAATGCAAAGACCCAGACTGCCACCATCTTAACAATAGTCGTTGACATCGTTCCCCGTTGAATCCTATATGTCACCTAGAAGTAAAATTAAAAGACCCCATGTCAGTCACACATTGCGTTCTTTTTATAACTAGTGTAAGTACTTTGTAAAAACTTCTGGGAAATTAAGAATAATATTTGTACTGTAGGTCTCCAGATGTCCAGAACATCTGTGTTTATATAAAGCCCTGAAAAACTTTACTAATCTTGGGTTCAAGCACTATAGCCTACTGTATGCTTGAGATTTGGTGGGAAATTTGAGATGGATACACCATTCACCGGAATGAACGAATGAGTAATAGGAAATGGTTTGATGGCATCACCACCACAATAAGGAAATAACAAGGAGTCAGCTTCTGATTCATGAAAACATTGAATCTCAGAGGTGAACTAAGAGTTGGGGGTGGAGGGTTACTCCCACTGTAATAGAAAAGTAACCATGACTGCTTCCAAGCACTAGATAGTATCTAAATGTGAATATTTGTTTTTCTTTGCCACAGAATAAAATGTATCCCCCCCAGATCCCCTCATATTTCTTAAAGGAAGGAAATTTAATCATTTAGATGGTGTGTTATGGTGCTTTCTTTATCATTTAAATGGCCGCTCAGATTCCTTTAGTTGTTTAGGTTTTTATGCCTTACCAGATTTTATTTTTTTTAAGTATCCAGCATCAAAAAAAGTTGCCAGTGCAACCTCAATTCAGATCCCTTGTGTGTAAGCACTATGACATCGTCTTTAATTACATTATCTCACACTATTTTTTCCACAGGACCCCAACTCACTCAGTGCACAGGATGTATGATACTTCCTGAATGAGCAGCTTTCAATATTTTGGGGGTTTTTTCCTCATTTTTCAGTGACTGGCCCCAGGCCGCATTTACTGCACACTATTCAAACCCTGCTGTGAAGACAGAATTAGTAATTTCCTTATGGGCTTGTCTGTGGTGCTAATCACTATAATATCTGAGTGCTTCACCTGGGAAGTGAGATGGTATTATTATTATTCCGATTTTACAGATGGGGAGCTGAGGCACAGAGACAATGGCAAAAGTATCCAATTTTGAGTGCACAGTCCGAAGTGCCTATGGACAGATTTTTTTTTTCAGAGAACCGTCCATTTTATAATACTTTGTTCAAAGTACAGCTCCCATTGACTTCAGCTATAGCTGTGAGTGCTCAGGACTCTGCAAATCAGATCCCAGGTATCTCAGTTTGGGACACAGACAGTGAAGAATACACAGTTAAGTGACCACCTGTGAAAAGTCTGGTGTAAGTGACTTGCCTAGTATCACATATGAGCTCTGTGGCAGAGGCAGGGATAGAATCCACGTTCCCAGGACAGCATTCAACTGCCTTAACTGGGAGACCCTCCTTTCTATTCCTGCCATCACTTGCCCCATTCACTACACACCTTCCAATCCTCCCTCTTAGCAGAAGGTGTGGGCCTTTGGTTTTGGGCAGGCCTACACCTGCCTGTCCCAAATCTGCAAATAGTAAATTAATGTAATGGAGATGTCTTATCTCCTAGAACAGGAAGGGACCTTGAAAGGTCATCAAGTCCAGCCCCCTGCCTTCACTAGCAGGAACAAGTACTGATTTTGCCCCAGATCCCTAAGTGGCCCCCTCAAGGATTGAACTCACAACCCTGGGTTTAGTAGGCCAAACCACTGAGCTATCCCTCCCCCACGTACACACCTTCCAACTTCTGCAACAAATGAGACAGAGGTCCTGCAGACAGCCTCCTTCACTACACAACCCTGATTCCTTTTCTGAGCAACAGCCATACTGTGCATTGAATGAGGCACAGATCCAGCAGAAAAAATAGCCTGTGATCATATAATTAAAGGTTGTATCATAATGCATATGCACACATGCATTTCTCCTAACTTTGAGGGCTAGATTCTGCAACTTTAATGCTCCTTAAATATAGGGGTTTTTGTGTGCAATTTCATAGGTTTTTAAAAAAGCAAACTGAAAAAAAACAGAATTCCATCATGAGGCATTATATTGACACCCACATGGGTCATCAAAAGGGTTGGAACCTTTAGATCCAAAGCACAGAACCCCTTGAGCTAACACAGTAAGTGATATCAGTATTAGGCTGTCATCCTCCATATGGGCCAGACACTAGGTGGAGGTGAGATCCACTTTGCCAGTGGGTTTCACGGACATTTGCTGTCCACAGAGAAATGTTGAGACTCAGGAAATATGGGTTTTATTCCAGGTGGTAGATGTACTAAGGTGGTTACAGACCCTTCTGTCCTTGGCCGCTCCAGTCTGTCCTTGGTCCAGTCCTCCTGCCCTCCCTTAGATCCTCATCCAACACTTCCACTCACTCCAGCCTCCTGCTTGGCTCCATTTCCCAATACCAATCTCACCTGACCCTCCATTTAGCTCCTTGTCTCACTTTCCCCCTTCCTCCATTCATCTCAGGCCCTGTCTCCCCATCACCACCCTCTTTCAGGTCTTCATTCCCCAAGCTCCTCATTCCAGCCCAATCTCCGATCCCCACCTTCTCCCTGGCCCTTGTCCCAGCCTCCCCGCTTGCCACTGCTCCAGGCCTGATTTTCCACAAGTCTGCCTGCTAGGCAAGCAGCTTCCTCCTCCTCATTGAGAGCACAGGAGAGACAGACTCCCCACTCTCAGCTCTGTGCCACAGCAGCTCCTAGCATCCATATGCAGCAATTGCAGTAAAAGACCTGCTCCACCCCTGCAAGATGTTCACTGTAGATGGAATTGTCAGAGAATTTAGTTGCCAAACTAACAATTCTCTACCGAGCCTGTGCAAACAGATTTTCAGAGGCTCTTAAGTTGGACCAATTTTCACAGGAATAGCAAAAAACACGCTCCTGAAAGTACGGCAACCGTCATACCGAATTTCAAGTCTCTGCTCCAATGAACGGAGGAGCTAGATCTTCTGAACGAAACACTCAAAAAACATTTTATCATTGTCAAAACAAAGTATTATCCCTATCCTTATTCTGAGAAATGTCTGAACTGTTAGCTGAAACTTTCAACAACAGCAAAAAAATTCACCCTGAGGAAGACAGCCAACACAGAAAACTTCAGCCTGGATGGTAAAAGTTTGGCAAAATTATAAGTTACATGAAAATAGGATCTTATAATGTCAGGCAACCTTAACTATAGGCATTATTACATGTGCCACCTATCATTTAGATTTGCCAAAGTCACTGGCCTGGGAGTCTAGAAATCTATTTCCAATTCTGCCATTGACTAATTGACTTTGGACAAGTCACAATTCTTTGTTGGATAATGCTTATCCACCTTTGTAAAGTACCTTCCAATCTATGGATGAAAAGTGTTATATAAGTGTTAAGTATTATCATAAATACACAATTACATCTAAACATCATGAGACATGCAAAGCTAACTATGAATGTTCTACTCACAGCTTTAGTAACTGACAGGAACCGATCATAGCTGATAAGGACGATGCTAAAGGCTGAAGCTGTGCACATAAGATAGTCTACAACTAGCCAGAGTTTGCAAAGAAGTCTTCCAAATATCCACTTGCCTCTCAGGATGTAAGGGATATACAGGGGGATACAGAATGCACCTATAGAGAAAAATATAAATAATCAATCAAGTTGTTATAGTCAGGACTGCAGATGGTACACCTCTACCTCGATATAACGCTGTCCTCGGAAGCCAAAAAATC